CCCTCATTCAGATTGGAATGATCTTCATTTTGATTGTTCTGATCCTTATCTGAATCCTGTTATAGACAATTAAGCTCTCATTTAAGTTGAGGAAAATGATACACATAACAAAAACCAACTCAAGATCCCCAATAAAGCAAAGCAATAAAAGAAAACGTTAAACTTTCATTTCTCAAAAAGAAAAAAAATAGATTCGTAGAAGTATAATCAGAAGCATCACTCTATTACAAAAAAAAGTAGGAAAAAATACAGCATAACTTAATCTAATTCTCCATTCTGTCCAGGAGGATGCGAATCAAATGAGCTTCTATCATCAAATACTGATGTTTCTTCTAAAGAGACCACACTAAGCTCGATAAAATGGAGATTTGATTTTATAGCAACTTTAATCAAATAAACAAAATTAGAAATGATGCAACTTTAGAAATATCGAAATGATAATCAATAATTGTGATTCATCTTGTATCCAAAATCAATACAATTACATTAATAATCTTATTAAACCATTTTTTTAATTAGAATTAATATATAAATTTATATACTCTTATTATTTATATCCATATTTATATGAATAATGATGTTGTTTAATTCTTTTATATTTATTTCTAAAATTTATGTAATCTCACAATAAATAAAATATTCTAATCAATTTTTTTATTTTCTACTAGATTTTCTAGTTTATAATTTATTTACAATAGCTTAAAGATAATCTCCATTAAGCCCCAATAACCCTGTAAAACAATTAAATTAAGTTGCCAATGGTACAAATTCAGTTTCATAATCTAAATTTTCAGTAAATAAGGCCAAAGAAACTTTATTATAAGGGTTTTTTTGGCTTAATTCATAAAAATATGCGATTGATAAGACACATTGCTTTTAATTGTAATATGCTGAGGATCCTCCTTTTACCTTTTTTAATTATTATTATGAATACCCCAACGTGCTTGTAGATCCTTGCTAAAGCAGGATTTTAAAGTGAAACATATCCTATCAATGGATAAAATACTTCATAGAACTACTTATTAAAAATAGTTTCCTTGTTTAATTTATTTAACAAATTAGCATAAGAATTAGTAGTTGATTTAGTAAATAACTAAGCTTAAATTCCTAAGACTTCTCCATCTAATAATTCTTTTCCTCTTTTTAATAGTTCCTATGCTTCTTAGCCACCTTAAATTAATAAATTATGGATTTCATTGCTCTGTTATTTTATTGATTCCCCATTGTAAGATTTAAGTTCTGCTATATACTGATCTCTTGTTGCATTTTTTATGTTTATGAATGACAATATAAATGAGTTCAAATAATAAGAATTAGTTTATTTCAATTTTAATTTATTGATTGTTTTCTAAATTGATTCGAGAGTTAAAATGGTCTACAAGAACTCAGTATTAGCATTAGAACTTAATGCTATCATTCCATTAGCAATTTCAATTATTTCACTTTGCCATCTTATAACTTACCTTATTTTTCCCAAATTTACAAAAAATTAGTAATG